GATGAACCAAGCAATGGTGAAAGGAATAGCAACATACTTTCTTATCTTCCAGTGTAACCAACAATTGACCAGCCTATCCCAAGCGAACTCTTTCTCATCAATTGTCAACTGATTTAGGAACTGTTTCCAAACCTGTTGAGCAAAGTTGCATTCAAAGAATAAATGATTCAGAGTTTCCTCTTCATTCTTACATAGCCAGCATTTAGGGGGACCCCTCAATCCCTTCAGCTTGAGAATGTCATCAGTAGGGATCATTTTATGAAATATTCTCCAACAGAAGAAGGACATAGAAGGGGATAGGAATTTATTCCATAAATGATCACCCCAGGGTGTTTTCTCCCAACAGAAAGTTTTGTAATATATGGATTTGGTGAGGCTTTGGTGGGAAGTGGTCCGCCATAAGATTTTATCTGCTGTACTTCTGTTAAACTTTATACTGGCCACTTTGGTAATAGAGTGAGGTTGTAGAAGATTTGATAACTTACCTAGGGACCATTCATCACCATAACAGCAATCAGCCATTTTCAAATCACTATTGTAGATATTGGTAATGGGGGATAGCCAGTCTTTGGGACACCAATTGTCAAGCCAAAACTTGATTTCCCCATTACCTAATTCCCAACTGTAATTGGTTTCAGCAATTTGTCTGATCTTCAGCATTTTCACCAAAATTCTAGAATCACAAATTTTCCTTAGGACTAGTGTGGGGTGCTGATCTTTGCAATACTTACCCCACATGAATTTTGCCCACAAGGAGTTTTGGGTCCTAAACTTAGTCCAGAGCTTACAGAAATTAACTTGAAGGAGTTGATCAAGATCCTTAAAGCCAATTCCCCCAACAATTTGAGGTTTAGCTGCTTTTCTCCAGGAAGCCCAATGCATTTACTATCTTTGACCAGACCACATGAATTTATTAAAAATTCTCTCCAGCTGTATTTTCTTTATGGTAGTCATCTGCAGTATATAAGAAGGGAAGGTAGTGATTATGCTCTTTAACAAAGTAATTCTTCCCCATTAGATAAGGAGGTCTGTGTCCACCCATTGAGAAGGCTAGAAATTTTATTCAGTACCTCATCAAATTGAGTTTGTTTGGTTCTGCCAGTGATAAGAAGCAGCCCAAGGTACTTAATTGGGAGTTGAGTAGTTGTGAAGCCAGTATGATCAGATGCCCAATGTTTATGAGTGGAGGATAAATGTTTACAGAATACCATCTGAAACTTTGCTGGATTGAAGGACATCCCTGAAAGAGCTTGAAATTTTTGTAATATTTGGAAGACTTTTCTGATAGCATTTTTGTTGGCTCTGGAGAATACCATTATGTCATCATTAAGTGAGTAATGGCTATATTGGATCCGTGATGGTATCTGTTGTGGATTTGATTCAGAAGAGCTTCATCAAGAGTTCTAGATAAGTAATCAATAGCAAGTATGAAAATGGTGGGTGGTAAAGGGTCCCCTTACTTTAAACCTCTGACAGCAGTGAAGGAACCCCTCCATTGTTCATTTATCAAAATAGAGTGTTCATTTTTATGTAACCACCTCCTAATCAGTTGACAGAAATCAGTGTTGAATCCTCTGGCAGTTAAGACTTCCATTATGAAATCCCAGCTTATGGTATCTTAGGCTTTCCTTAAGTCCAGATTATAAATCATGCTGCCCCCTCTACAGGTTTTATTCAATTCTTGTAGTAATTCTTGAGCCAATAGAGTTTTGTCAATTATGGACCTTCCTTTCACAAAAGTTGTTTGATTTAGTTTAATTATGCAATCAAGATGAGGTTGTAGCCTATTAACAATGATTTTGCTAATAATTTTACTAATGACAGTGGTTAGACAAATAGGCCTAAAGTGGTTCCAATTCTTCTGGATATCAGATTTAGGGACCAGCACAGTGGTGGAAGCACAGAAATACTTTGGAAGGTTATTTCCTTTAAAGAAGCTAGTTGCTGCAGCAATAACATCAATCTTAATTACCTCCCAAGACTTTTTGTAAAACTCAGCAGTAAAACCATCAGGGCCTGCAGATTTGTTGTTGTCAATTGAACTGATTGCATTCCAAATTTCCTTTTCATTGGGGATATCTGTGAGCTTGAGGCTAGCAGTAAAATTCAGTTTAGTAGAGAAGTTTGCCTTCTCAATGTAGTTTCTGAAATGTTGTTCCTGATTTAGCAGGTTTTTATAGTAATTTATAACATCTTTGGCTATGTCAGCATCATCATGTAACCACTGACCATTAGCATTTTTAAATAGCATGGATGGTGTTACACTTTCTCTTGTATTTTATATATGCATGATAAAGTTTAGTGTTTTTATCCCCATCTGTTAAAATATTCATAGCAGCCTTGTGTTCAAGAAATTTTTCCTGATATTCAATGGCACTAAGAAGGTTATTCTGAGCAGTCAACAGTTCCTTTTCCTCCACATTGCCAATCTGTTCCTCATACTCCAATTTTTTTACTTCATTTTCTGCCTCTTGAACTTTGGCATGTACATTTTCCAAATGTTTCCCAACTCTAATTTCTGAGGGCTTTGGAAGTTTTAATTTGCAGCAAACTTAGCTTGATAATAGGGTCAGAATGTGAAATACCTTTCCATAAATCAGCAATGTACTTGTTGTAAGAAGGATGTGCTGCCCACATATTGAGATATCTAAAGGGAGGGGGAGGTATGATTATCAGTAAAAGTAATGCTGATAAGCATAGGCCTATGATCTGAACCAACAAGACTAAGATGAGTAACAAAGGTGAGGAGGAATTGGTTAAACCATGCATCATTTACCAATATTCTATATAGCCTCTCCCAAATAGCTCCCCTTTTCCAAGTGAAATTAGGCCCCTTGAAACCCAGATCAAAGAGATTAGCCCTGTGGATATTATCTTTGAAGGTATTCATCTTGGCAAGATTTGGGGTTCTTCCTCAAGATTTTTCAGTGGTAGAAGTGATACAATTTAAATCACCCCTGACCAACCATGAGGAGTCCACCTGTTGGCTGATGTGAATCAACCTGTTCCATAGCTCTTTTCTAGCATCCTTTGTACATCCAGCATAGATGAAGGTAGCTTCACCCTTATGTCCAATCATATTGAATGAGAGGTGGACAAATTGTGGATGATCAATTAAAATATCAAAAATTGTTTCTCTTTTGCAAAAAATCCAAATTTTATTATTAGTATTCCCAAAATGGGTGAAGCCAACAAACTTTTTAATCAAATTTTGAGGGTTCTTGTGAACCATGGGTTCAAGAATAACAACACACCACAGTTTGCATTTAAAGTTCAGGTATAAAACTCTTTTAAGTGACAGAGGGTTAGCCATCCCCCTTATATTCCAACAAAGTAGATTAATCATGGAGTGGAGGATGTGAGGAAGGCTGGGATCTAGATCTGGTTCTTCCTCGAAGAAGTGGATACCCATCCCTAGCTCTTACAGCCTTCATAGATTGTACTCCTGCTTGTAATTTTTTTACTTCTGTCCCTGGTTTTCTCCTTTTCCTTGCTATTTTAATTCGCCAATCGTCCTCAATGGTTTGTTTCAATTCAATAATACTTAATTCCTTTGGAGCTTTGTCAGGTATCTCTATGATGATTTTCTTTCCCTTCTCAACATATAAGGGGGATGTGGGTGTGACAATTGTGATTTCAGTATCTTCCTTCCTGATTGATTTGTGTAGTGGGATATTAGCTTGGCTGTTGGGTTCAGATAGCTCTCCAAGAGGATCAACATATGGTGGAACCTCATTAATACTTGGGGGTGGTTCTTCTAGCCTTGGATTTGTTTCCTGTCTATTTTCTAACATAACTTATTCAACAATGCCCCTTGCAGCATTAGCCACAATTTTTTCAGTAGCTATTTGGTTTCTTCCTGCCATCTTCCTATTTGGGGGATGTAATCTGTAACATTTATCTACAGTATGCCCAAACATCTTGCAATGTGGACAGTAGTAAGGCTTCTGTTCAGCTATTATGTCCTGTCAGAACCCTTCAGCAACAGAGCCAATCCAGATTCTCTTCAGTTCAAGGAGTGTGATATCTCTTTCAACTTGAATTCTAGCAAGGCCAGGTCTAGCCTTATTATAGATGGGAGCATCCACTCTCAGATGTGTTCCCAGTGTTCTACCAATGCTAAATAGAGCATTAATCTTAAAATAAGGTAGTGGTAAGCCATGTAATTTAAACCAGATGGGGACAACAGAAGTTTCTTTACTAGGATCAAACTCTGGAGTCCATTTGATGATCTTCATAACTATTCCAGCAATGTTAACAGATTGTTTAGCAAACAATCTTGCATAATCTTCCTCAGCTGCCAATTGGATTAGAAGGTGTCTCCCATCCAAAAGCCCAATTTTC